TTTAAAATGAGCTAATAGCCATTGGGGTGAATTTATGTAGCAAATTGCTGTCTGCTGTATTCAAATTATTCCCCGAGCTCTGACTCATTCAGAAAGTACCAAATATCACGGAGGCACACAATTATCATGCTTATTTAATGTTTGCAACCAAAAAGAGTAAGGTTGGAATATTTAATATCATCGTCGATATTGAAGAACTGAAATTGATTATTATCTTGAGATTAATATATTTTCCCCAAGACATACCCTGGGGTCAAAAGACTGAGTATTAAAACTATGTGAAAAATTCACTGCAATAATTGCTTTAGGGGCTAATTTTTTTTTAATGTCTTGCTTCCTTATGCCGGTACCGCTGATTGTTATAGCCTGCACACTTCACCCATTAAGTGGTAATTCAGAGTGACAAGTACATTGAAACGAAGCAAGTTAGTTAATCACCATGAAACCATCGCTGAAATACCCTGTCCGAGTACTCCTGAGTCACTGGAGGCCTCTGCTTACCTGATTTTCTCCGGAAGTGAGATCTTCCTGTACAAAGCAGTGAACATGTTTATGGGGCTACGGGACGGTGGAGGGCTACAGCTTGGTTGGGGTGGTTACCGGAGCACCGAAAATCTTTCAGGGAGCCGAACCCGGCTTGCTGCTTGCACTGTGTGGATTCCCTCAGGATCGTCCAGCAGGTGCGTGGGGGCCACCATTGCTGTTCCAGTCCTGCAGCCTCGAAATACAGACACACGGAGGGTCTGGGTCAGGCTCTGGCCCTTGTCATATGACCTGGTTTTCACCAGAACAGGACTGGGGGTGACCAAGAGCTCTGTCAGTAAGCACGTGCCCAGTGCTGTCTGCCCATTTTGGCTGGCCTGTCTGGACTGCTGGGGGAAGCTTCCTTTGTCCTCCTTTTTCTTGATGATCAAGTAGGCTGCACCACGGGGTCTGTTCCCCCACTGCAGGGAGGTCCGAGTTGGGACTAGTGGTGTACCCCGGGCTCGTGAACAAGTTCACCTTTAGAAGAGACACGGCAGCCGTGCGAGGGGCTTGGGTGCCCCTCAGAGACCTGCCATGGCCCCCGCCTGGCTTGCCCCCACCCCAATGCTCTGTGGGCTGTTCACAGCAGTGTTCCCCCTCCTCCTTGCTTCTCCCAGTGGGGCTCTCTGTGGCCCAGTGAAAGTGCTTTCAGGGGCCACACTGCTTCTATCACCCAGGCTTTGGGAAGTATGTTTCAGTGGCACAGATTTTGCCTCTCTGGCCAAAAAACTGCCATGGTTTTGTTGGGGGGGGGTGTGGTTTTCTCCATAGTTTTCTTTCTCATTAATGTAGAGGCTAAAGATAAAGCCAAAGGATTCTACACGTCATATGGAAGACAGAAACCCCTCTGATTCCAGATCTGCCTCATTCTTCCTGTTAGGAGAACACCCCTCAGTGGCTCCTGGGTGATGAAGAAGGCAGTTTCTGCCCTGCCTATCCATAAGCTCACAACTTGATCCTTGAGGTCATGACATTGAGATGTTGTGTGTGAAGATGCCTATAAACCATGGCACTCACTCTTGTTACATAAAGAATTCAGCAAATATTTCATTAAGTGCTGGCCCTGTCACATAAGCACTTAGACACGAGTATATCCTTAAGAAGCTCACAGCACTGTATGCGAGAGACAAGTCAACGTGTAGTTCACCGAACATTTTTGAAGCAAAAATAGGGAGAGAGCAGAATGGAGAACGTGGTCAGCTCCAGCGGATCAGGCTGGGCCGTGGAGGGTGAACAGGAGCTCACTGGGGACGAGGTGGGGCTGGAGTGAGCGTGGCAGGAGAGGGCACCGCCTGAGCTGAGGGCAGTCAGTTCCTAGAGGTGCCAGGCTTCACACGAAAGTGGGGTGATGGATGTTTGCTTTCCGTGGGGAGCCACGCCCTCCCCCGGGCTCTGCATGCCAGTGGCCCTCTGTTATTCACTTGTGAGTGAGGCGTTACTCACATTCACCCGCTGTGGGCCCAAACAAGGAGGACAGGCCCGCACAGCCTCCTCAGAGAAGGGAGAGGACCCACTGCTTGGATAGCTTAAGGGGCATGGCTTTAATTTACCAGGCACTGTCTCTTCCGTTACGTGGTCTGTGGCTACAGCATGTTTCTCAACTCTTATTCCATGAAATGTCACCATACATGGGGGGGGAGCGGGGGTGGGGGAATGGACAGTTCAGGTCACAGGGAAAAACTGAAGCAGAGACAGACAAATTTGTGACATTGACAGCTGGTGAGAAGTTGCGCAGGGCAGAGACTGGATATGTGTCTGAATTCTCAGAGTTCATTCAGGAAGGGTCCCTCTTGCTTTTTCACCTTATTCACGACCAATTTAAGAAGCCTCTTATAATCTGTGTTCCAGTGCCATAGGGAAGGGATAGCACCATGCTGTTCAGCAGAGGGGAAAAAAAGGCAAACAAGCTGGGGGTGCGTTTTTGTGTCATGTGGGTATATAAGGATATCAATAGTACATAAAAGTTCAATTAAAAGTACAGAAATTTTAGGGGCACTTGGGTAGCTCAGTCAGTTGAATGTCTGATTCAGTTTCGGCTCAGGTCATGATCTTACGGGTCATGGGCTGGAGCCTGGCATCTGGCTCTGTGCTCAGTGGGGAGTCTGCTTGAGATTCTCTCCCTCTGCCCCTCCCACCAACTCGGGTGTGTGCACGCACATGATCCCTCTCTCTCTAAAATAAATAAATCCTAAAAAAAGATACAGAAATTTTAGGTGTTTGTATTTAAAACATATACTGTGGAATGTGATAAATCCCTCCTCCCCCCAAATAAAACACTTTGGAAGTTGATTTTTAAGTACATTATTCTCTTCTCTGCACCCCCAGCCTTCTCGTGTTCCCAAGCACAAGGCCTACATGACTTAACTAATTCAGGCATACAGTACTCAGAGAAGGTGGTTTTGAGACCAGTGTCAGCATCGGGTGCAGGCTCCATGGTTTACTCTACGGTGATCGTGTCTGAGCTACAGCTGCATCATCTATAAAATGGGAATAATAATAATAATACCTGTTATAAAAGGTGTTTGTTGGGATTAGGGGAGAATATTATGTGAGGGTTGGTTTTTAGCTATCTGGTTGTAAGGTGCTGAGCCTTCCCATTTGGTATGTCTTTGATACGTAGTTTTCATCACTTGGACATTAATTTTGTTTTTAGGATTGTATAAGCACGCAGTCCACTTTAAAGTAATAATTAATTTTTTTAGATTATCCTATTTCTGCCATGTCAGACAAGTGACTGTTTTGACTTGTGACATTTCCATAAAGCTGAAGGTTTGATGATTTCAGGGGAGATGCTAAAAACACATTTTGTTATTGCCTTTAAAACTTACCTTTAAGCTTCACTGAAACTGTGATTAATCTATTTGGCATCAAATAATAGCTATTCATGGGTGTTCTGTCCAGAGGTAGCTTCAGATCCCACCCGTGTCAGGGCTCCAGCCCACGAGGCTGACCCCGCCCTCACCTTCAGATGACAGTTGCAAGTCCACATTGCTTCCTGTGCTTGTGAGCAACCAAGGATCAGAGGTTCCTGCAGTCTCCTCCTCGGGATAGATTAATTTGCTAGAGCCGCTCACAGAACTCAGGGAAACCTCTTACTTACGAGATCACCGGTTTATCATGAAGGATAACCAGGAACAGCCAGATGTGTGTGTCTACACAGTACAAGGCATGTGGGAAGGGGCACAGGCTTCCAGGCCCTCCCTGGGCCCCACTCTCCTAGCACCTCCACGTGTTCACCAACTGGGAAGCTTCTCGAACCCCTGTCCCTTTGTGTTTTTAGGGAGGCTTCGTTACATAGGCGTCATCGATTAAATAATTGGCCATTGACAGTTAGTTCAACTTCCAGTCCCTCTTCCCCTCCCCGAAGGGTGGGGCAGGTGGGAGGGAGGGACTGAAAGTTATAACCCTCTAATCGTGAGGGTTGGTGCCCCTGGCAACCAGCCTCCATCTAAGGGGCTTTCCAGAAGTCATTAAATAAACTCAGGTGGGGTTGAAAGAGGCTTGTTGTAAATAACGAAGGACACCCATTTCTCCTTTATTGCTCTGAAGTTTTTTTCAGGAACTGGGATCAAAACTAAGTATCATAACCAAAGATGCCCCTATGGCTCTTCTGTAGGAAATTACAAGGGTTTCGGGAACTACGCACCAGGAACAGTGGATAGACACCGAATACAGATTTCTTAGTATAAATCACAATATCCCCATCATAAATAGATTCATACCATATTTGTCTTTTTTTGTCTGCTTATTTCTCTCAGCATAAGGTTAAGGTTTTCTGTGATCTAGCTTGTCAAAAATCTCATTCCTTTTCAAGGCTGCATAGTATTCTACTGCGTGTATCTACCACATTTTGGTTCTCCTTCATTTGACTTTGGTGAATAGTGCTGCTGTGAATGCTAGGGTGCAAATATCTGTTTGAATCTCTGTTTTCAGTTCTTTTGTGCATATACCCACAAGTGGAATTGCTGGATCATATGGTAATTCTGTGATCAGTTTTTTAAGAAAAATGCTAAAGGGGCTTAAAACCCATTAACTTATTGGAGAAAAGGACTGTTTGTTGATTGCTTCACATATGTCTTATAGTATATTAGGTGGCAGAGCAATGGGAATGGGTGGGTCACGGCTCCTTCTCTCAAGAAATACGGGGGCTTTGGAGGAGGGACCTATTTTATGCATCAAAGATGCATGAATAAAAGTAGCTATTATATACTGTATTTACTGCTGTAATAAGATGTGTATAGAGTATTATGGGAGCACATAATAATAGTAATGATTTCTAGTGTTTCTGAAGACAAAACCTCCTTGGATGTTATCCAAGATAGATGATCTCTACCACATTTTGGTTAGTAGTGGGTAATGCGGTAGAGAATTTCCAGTGTACAAGTTTTGGTTGTACATTTGTTTTTTTTAATAGCTAACAGTCCATCCACCTTTTCTGTGATCTAAATGTCTCTTCTGCTTTTTTCTTTTTTTAGTGGTTTTTAATTGCCAACAGATCTTACAAAGTCAGTGCAGCAAGCTCTTTCTTCTTCAGTGGTGTGTTTGTGGGAGTTATTTCCTTTGGTCAGCTTTCAGATCGCTTCGGAAGGAAAAAAGTCTATCTCACAGGTAATCAGTTACGAGTGTTCATGAACTGAATAGGAGGACTTACTTCCTTAGGGTTCTTAGGGAATTGCCATGTGGATACAGAACTGATTTTTACTACACTGGCAAGAGGCCACACTGCAGCCAGAGTTGATTCTGGCCAAGCGTTTTAAACGGACCAGCAGCATACCTGGTGAAGGCCATGTATTTGCATCTAAGCTTTTCATGATGACGGTGCTTTTGGCAACCCCCGAATTCTAACTTATGCCACGTTTCTAAAGAGAGCAGAGACTGAGTCAGAATCTTAGATCCATTTCCTTGTATCTTGTTCCTTTGTTCATTTCAAATATGCTTTGTAAGACCCAGCCATAGTTCTTTTGACAAACTGAGCATGAGCTGGGATTTTTCCATTTCCCATACTGTTGTGAATAATTGAAAACTGTGCATGATTGACAAATATCAACTTGTAACAAAGAAAGAGAACCCTTAGTTTTTCTTTATAGTTTTTAAGAGAAAAGTTTTTTAAAAAGCATAGCTTAGAAAACTTAACTTTACAAAGATGTATCTTTACAAATGTAAAATAAGTATAATTTATTACTTTGATCAAATGCTGTTTTACATCCGGATTATTGACTGCTGTTCCTGTAATTCTAGGTTTTGCTCTTGACATCTTATTTGCTGTTGCAAATGGGTTTTCCCCCTCCTATGAGTTCTTCGCCGTAACTCGCTTCCTGGTAGGCGTGATGAACGGAGGAATGTCGCTGGTGGCCTTCGTCCTGCTGAACGAATGTGTGGGCACCGCCTACTGGGCACTCGCAGGTACTGCTCACTCCGTGCCGATGACAGACATGGTGAGCTGCCCCAGAAAACCTCGCAGGGAACCAGCCGAACCCCAGAGTCTAAAAATGCACTTGGACTTGAGGCGCTCTATCTCACCATTAGATTTGCTTTCCGGGGTTTGTTCTGTATGACCTTGAATAAGTCATTCATATCCCTCTGTAGAAAGTCTCCCTAGGGCCTGCCTCATAGATGGTGAGCTTGCCTCCAGATTATTCCAAGAGTGTCAGTTTCCTCAGAAGGGCATTAACCGTTTACACCTTAAACTGAGAAACAGGGCAGACATAAGAAAGCCTAGACGCTCCTTTCCCAGCGCTTTCTTACTGTATTTTTATTAAATATTTATCTCCCAGGCAGGGGAGGGACAAGTTGGAGGGACCAGATGATTTAGAGCCTGTGCTAGGCCAAATGAGAAATTTGTTTTTATTTGAAGTGCAGTAAGAAGCCAGCGGGCAAATTAAATAGTGGAGCGATAGGATCAGATAGGATACAGAAAGACGACGGTGGCAGAGGTGTGGAGAATGGACCATGGAAGGGGAAGAGAAATTGGAGGAGAAATTGAGGGGTCATTCAGGAGGGGTTGTGGTTAGCCCGTGAAACATGACGGGGGCTTGCTTAGACACAGTGGGAGGAGAGGAGCAAGGAAGACGGCCATGGGAGGTGGCTTTGGGTGGGACAGTGACTTGCCGAAGGATCAGAGTGGGAAGAACTGTTCTGAGCAGTGACAGAGTGTTATTCCCGGAAGCCAGGTGCTATCTGATGCACCGTAATGAAACCGTAATAGCCATTGATTATCTTAAATTTCCAGGGAAATTATAGTGTCCCCACTCCCTTACTTATCGGACCCCATGTTCGGATTTGGTGTCCTGAACATGCTGCCACTTCAGCTGTCCCTTCTGCTCCCCCCCTTTTCCTCACTAGGGCACAGAGTAGACATGTCATTACATGGCTAGAGAACTGATCATCTCTGGGCAAGAAAACAACGCAGTTCTCTTATAGAATTCTTGTAGAAAGTTCTTGTAGCAAGATCAACAAGGTCGTGTCGCTGTGTGTTGCCCACAGAAGCCTGCCTTTCCCTAGGAGGGTGGAGAGCGGACTGGGACAGCACGCAGGCTCCACAGTCAGGCAGACAGGGTAGGGTCCCAGCCATCCTGCTCACAGCTCCGTGTCCTAGACAGCGGCCCCTGACCTCTCTGCAGTTTCCTCTTTGTGTATGGCTCTAATGGCACCTGCTTTATAGGACAATGTATGCTGCGCAATAAATAGTACTGAGTACTCCTATTCGTTGTGATGGTAGCAGTTATAGGAAGTGTGTCAGAGGTATAAATTCACACGTATATTGGGCAAGCCAGTGGACTTAATACCCATCTCAGCATTTATTTTGAAAAGCATAGTCTTTTTCACAATCCCATGGTTGATTTTTTTTCCTATCAGCATGCTGGCAAAAATCCACGCTTCATAGAGACAGACAAGAAACATCTGGGGTGCCTGGGTGGCTCGGTCGTTAAGCATCTGCCTTCGGCTCAGGTCATGATCCCAGGGTCCTGGGATGGAGCCCCGCATCGGGCTCCCTGCTCCGCGGGAAGCCTGCTTCTCCCGCTCCCCCTGCTTGTGTTCCCTCTCTTGCTGTGTCTCTCTCTGTCAAATAAAATAAGTAAAATCTTTTAAAAAAAGAAAAAAAGAAAGGAACAGAGAGCTATAAAATGCCCTGGTATCCGGTGCTGATACACCAAATGGGGAAGGGCAAGAGGGAGAACTGAAGAGTAGCCTGCGATTTAAGGTGAGGATTTGAGGCACAACCTTTGTGATAAGATGAGGTCTCAGTATTGCGATAATCTCATGACCTAAAACCCGTATCGCCAGCCAGCAAGGCGTCCTTCCAAGCTTCAGCTGACGTGCGGGCGGATGTCAGCACAGCCTTCAGCGCAAAAAGCACTATGGCAAACCCTTAAAATTCTTCTTGATCACATGTGGTTTGTATTTTTCACCTGTGCTTCCTCCTTTTCCGCCCACTCACTCGCCTCTCTCCACTTTTCTCATCTGTCAGTACTTGTGTAGGCTTTTCTTTCCTGCTGACACCTCCGAAGGAAGGCATTGGCTCTGTGACTCAGGTTGGAAAGGGTGGCGTGGACGGTGCTTTCTCCAGTAACAGGTGTCTTTTCCCTGAATTAGGATCGATCGGTGGCCTCTTCTTCGCAGTTGGCATTGCCCAGTATGCCCTGTTGGGATACTTCATCCGCTCCTGGAGGACCCTCGCCGTTCTGGTTAACCTACAGGGAACGGTGGTCTTTCTCCTGTCGTTGTGAGTAGTTTTTCCTCTTAGAGGTTTAATTTAATATGCAGAAGGAATGTCTTAAGAGGATGCGGGTCAATGAGCGGCGTTATTCCCTTTCAGGAGTTTGCCTGAACTGACTTTGGTGAAGAGCTAAATCCCGCAAGCGGTCCAATGCTTGGCAGCTGCTGGGAAGAGAGATGCTTAATTAATTCAGAATGCAGGTATCCCTTGTTTCAAGTAACATCTCCATAGATTGCATTTTAACTTTCAAGTTGTTGACCCAGGGTGCCAGTTTCTATTGTAACCTACTGCCTCAAGCCTGGAGATCTTCAGGCTGGATCAGGTCAGGTGCTTGGCATCTGACTCAGGTACAATGGTGCAAATATCACAGTCCATTCATACCCAATATGTAGTGGCAACTGTCCATCCTACAGGTGACCCTTATTTCAGGGCCTCTAAATGTGGACGTGGGGAGACTCTCAGATATGGGAGAAATCCTTAGGGTAGATGGCTCATAGCAGCAAAACGGTGATTCCCTGGTCAGGGCAGGATGCTCCCAACAACTCGCTCAGATGTCACACCGTGGTGCTCTTGAATGCTGTAAGGCGAGCCACCAACTTAGAGCCCTTTTACCAGTTCTTTCTTCCCATAGCAAATACTTTATAGATAATGTCATTAATAGTGTTAATAGTGCTTGTTATATAATACATATTACATAATATATAATAGAAGAATATTATTTATTAATATTCTTCCCTAAATAGCCTCAGACTCCGGTAACAGTAAAACAAATATTTAAGAGACATTTACAGAGTTCTCCATAAAATTAACATTACTGACCATCTTGTTGGGGCTTAGAAACCCAGTTTCACTCGTAAATACTGTGTCACAAAGAAGTAATACTATTCCGTTTCTTATTTCATCATTTTAATGATGTGCTTAAGAACTTTGACATTTGAGGGGTGTCTGGGTTGCTCAGTCAGTTAAGCATCTGCCTCCGGCTCAGGTCATGATCCCAGAGTCCTGGGATCGAGTCCCGGGTCGGGCTCCCTGCTCAGCAGGGAATCTGCTTCTCCCTCTGCCTCTGCCCCCACTCATGCTCTCTTTCTCTCTCTCAAATAAATGAAATCTGGGGAAAAAAAAAAGTTTGAGTTTTTAGTTTTATTTCACCAAAAGTTTTAATGTGCTTGTGAAAGGCTTTCTCCTGAGGTATCCGACCTCTAACTTTAATCATTAAAATCTTTGGAATAAATAAAATTTTCAGCCAGTGGAGTGAAGGATATCTGTGGCAGAATTTTCCTTCAGATGCATCTTTAATGTAGTCGTTCTTTGTTCAAGGTCTACTAATTGAGTTTTGGTGGATTGAGGATTGAACTGAAATCTGTTTTTGTATTCCCTCTGAAATAAGAGAATTAAGCGCAAAAATGAATATAATAGTGGGGCGCCTGGCTGGCTCAGTTGGAAGAGCATGGGACTCTTGATCTCAGGGTTGTGAGTTCGAGCCCCACATTGGGTGTAGAGATGACTTGAAAATAAATAGATAAACTTTAAAGAATGAATATAATAGAAATAGTTTACCTATACTTAAACAAGCAAAATGTATTAAACGTACTTAGTTATGTGAATTGGAATGAGATAATCCTACCAGAAAGGGAAACTAACAACATTTTATTAGTTCGTGTATTATACATTTTGGGAATAAATGGGTACCTAGTGTCATCCTTGAATTAATAAGCAGTCATGTAAATGTGGGTAGATAAATGAATTTTCTTTTTAAATAGCTAATAAGTCTTCTTTAGAGCAACTTTGACGGATGGCATGAGCTGTTCTGCCTGTCTCGTCTGAATGTGGTCTGAGTTTGTTACGGCCCTAGTGCTAGGTGAGGCCATCCACACCCTGGGAGATGAATTCAGGTCAGGAAACAATAGGAAACAGAGAAAAGAGCATGTAAACCCAATATATATATTTATTCCATTAGGCCTTCCCACGGTCAGCCTGCAGTTTATCTTTTCTGATCGTCTCCCAGCCCGTTTCCCATATCCTGTGTGCCGGGCACAGCGAACCGCTTGTAGTTTCTGGCATCATCTTGTGCGGTCCTGCTTCCGTGCCCCCTGCTCGATGCTGCCCCTGCCCTTCCGACACCCTGCTCTCCAGTTCTTCCTAGTTAACTCCTGGCCTCCCGGGTTTGCTCAAATGCTACCCCCTCCCTAACTTCTCCCCATCACACCTCCAGCTACCAGTCATTTGCTTTGGCTTCTGAATTCTCCAGCACTTACCCCGTGCCCTACGAGTGCTCTATTTCCACCTCACACTGGAGCCCGTCTCTTTCTGCACCAGGAGCTTCCTCCCGGGTAGCTGCAGGTGCTGGGCTCGGTCACGTGTCCCCCAGCACCAAAGCCCAGGGCCTTCCGCACAGATGACCCTTCAGATCCATTGGACAGGTGTGGGCACAAAAATATGTGGAAGTAGCCTTCAAAATTAGCTGTCAGCAATGTAAGAAAAAGTCACATTATTTTAGAGTCATACCTTGTTTTTTTTGTTTTACTGGAAACATTAGTGTGTAGTTTAAAAATTCCTCATTTTCACAGTACATGGATTTGAACGGTTTTACTCTAAAAATCAGTGCCTCCATAATTTGCAAGGATTTTCCACCTTCTAAGAAATTCACAGGACATGTTTTGAGCAGAGACAACATTGTTAAATTAGCACTGTAGCTTCTGAAGGTGGCCCCAGCACTGAGCAGAGGGCAGCATGTTGAAAGGCTGCTTTTTCTTTCAAAAACACGTCTTGCTGTTTGATATGCAAAATCTGCATGTGTTGGAATTTATATTCCCGAGTCCATCCGTCGGCAGCGAGGTGAGCCTTTGTGTGAGTAAGCTTCCTGGCTTCTCCAAGTGGGAGGACAGTCAGGTCCTCGGTTTGTGTACAAGACAGACCCGTCCCCACGCAGGAATAGCTTAGTGTTCCAAAGCTTGACTATCTCTCGAGTATAAAAAGGATTTATAAACATTTAGCAGTAATGTAAACATTTGTGTAACAGTAATTTACAGACATTTTAACAGTGACTAATGCTTATCAACCATTCTGAACACAGGGAAGTTTGAGGGAAAGGGGACAGTGACCTAAATGACACAAAGACAGTGACTGTTAGTATTCCAGCTGTTCCCTTGTCTCCTCTCCCTCACCTCCCTGTCCCTGTTGGTTTTGATTTAATTACGACAGACTTCTGGTGTCTCACTTACTTTTCCCTCCCAGCAGCACTCTCCACCTTCATCGTAGGCTTCGTTTATGTTCTTTGTATTTGCATTTAGAGGCAATCAGGTAATGCGTGGTAGCTCGTAAGCCACCTGGTTGTTAGGGCCAGTGGGTCCGCTTGCTGATCGGCCGACCTAACTCCCAGCAGCACAATATTTTGCTTGATTATCTGCTTGTGTATTAGTGATAATAATCGAATGGTAATGACGCTGTAAATCAAGGGATTTTTCAGGCTGTTGTAGAAGGCCTGCGTCCCTGCTTTTGTTGACGATCAAATGTGCACAAATAGTCTCTCCCCAGTAGCAAAGCTCTGCGAGAATTCCTGCTTTCTTGTTTCCTCTGAGCACCTGCTACATCGCCTGGTACAAAATGAATGTGCTCAACAAGTGGTTATTGAAGGACTGCTGTCCACGAAGTTCCAAATTCCGTGGTGTTTGTTGCCACTTCACTATCCTTACGGAAAGACACAGAGAATTCTAAAAGGCATCTTCAGTAGCCAGTGGTACTTATAGGTAGAAGTTTCATTTTAAGCAAATCATGTCACATTAGACCAAAAGGTACTGGATGCTGTATTTAGTAAACAAGGTGTCCCTGTTCCTGTCCCAGTTTGTCTTTGACAAGTCCTCTAGCTGTGCACACAGAAGGGTGAAGAGGAAAAAGGACACATCAGAGAGCTAAGTCTTAAAACTACTGGAAAATATCAATGGCAATATAACTGTTCAATACTTTGTAGTTACAGCAGAAAATAATTTGGTACCTGGAAGTTAACCAGAAAATGACTTTTATTCTTTAAGGTCTTGGGGGGCAGGAAATATCCTGAGGACATAGTAAAGCGAGTGTGTCAACTGATTGGAGTATTTTGTTTTTTTGTTTTTGTTTTTTTTTTTATTTTTTTTATTGTTATGTTAATCACCATGATTGGAGTATTTTGAAGCAGGAAATCCTCGAAAGTAGTTGAGATGTGATGACCCCTGTTTGATTTTTATGTAGTCTTAATCTCTGCCTTCTTAATAACATATCACCATGTTAAAAACGTGTTTTAAAAATTTATTTTTTCTGATGAGACAATAAAAATTACCTTCTCTGTGAGGCTTTGTCAGAACTTAAACACCTGCTATCTCTGTAGTATTATTCTCACACTTGGCCAGGGTTTAGAATGCTCTCTCTGACTTGGGCTTTATGAAAAATTTGTATCACTCAGTATTCTAGGCTTAATTTACCATTATCTATTAAAATTTGTTTAAAAGTAAATGCATACTGCTTACCTTTTCTTTTTTTTAACTGCTGTTTTCGAAGTATGTTCTTGGTTTCCATTCATAAAGCCACCACCTTTTAACCCTGGCATGCTGTTGAAAGTGGCCCCCTCTCTCTTTCACCTGTCATTGGGAGAGATAGTTTTAACCCTCACACGGAATCCGGTTGTGGTGAGGGAATCCACATACTCCTAGGTGAATTGTCTCCTTCGTGTGCCCATGTACCTATATGAATATACAGCCTTTAATGACGTCTCTTTCAGATTCATTCCTGAATCACCTCGTTGGTTATACTCCCAGGGTCGACTGAGTGAGGCTGAAGCGGCTCTGTACCTCATTGCCAAAAGGAACCGCAAGCTCAAGTGCACGTTCTCCCTAACATATCGGGCTAGCAGGAGCCACAGGGAGACCGGAAGTTTCCTGGATCTGTTCCGTTACCGGATCCTCTTGGGGCACACGCTGACCCTGATGTTCATCTGGTAATTATACCTAAGGGGTGTTGTCTTGATCCTCAACTCAGGTTGCTAACGGGCTGTTGATAATGTGTTCCTTCTGCAGGGTTACAGAGACTTTTACCTGATTTGTCAGCTTGAAGTGGTTTTCACAAGAACAGGTCCTCTGTTTCTTAATGCCCATGTTGTGCTCAGCTCGGCTTTCGCAGTACCCTCCGGTCAAGGAGGAACCCACAGTTTATGGATGGCAGGTTTAGCGAACTTGAGTAAACAGACAGCAGAAACACATCTTTGCTCCTGAGCTCTTTCCTGTAAATACTTAAGTACCCCCAACAACCTCCAAAAAAAAGGGGGGGGAAGCAAGCATATTAGAAGAGTTTCTAAGTAGGAGTTTAAAGTCCCTACCTTTGGTGTTAGCATCAAATTGTTCAGATAGCACGCTCTAGTTGTAGCACCTTGTCCTGTACTTTATGTGACATGCTCGCTCGCTCACTCCCGGGGGGTGGGCAGTGTTGTTCCTTGCACAAATGGAGTCCTGGGAGTGTGAAATGAAAGACTCAAAGCCACATGTGCAAATCAGTGCATGAACAGATAGGCATTCTCTGAATCTGATTTTCTCGCTTAGCTTATTCCTACCCGCCTCCCAACATACTCTCAGCATTCATGAGAATCGCACCAAATGATTCAAGATGGCTCCGCTTAAAGAATGAAGCAGAAAGGGGAGAAGTGGACAGGCAGTGCATACAGGGTGTGAATGGCACACGTGTTGTAGTACTGTATAGACGCTCCACGTTTTACTGTGCTTCTCAGAGATTGTGTGTTTTATGGTTGAAGGTTTGTGGGCAACCCTGCATCAAGCAAGTCTACTGGCACCATTTTCCAGTAGTGTTTCCTCACTGCGTAAATTTGTCACATTTTGTTAATTCTCGCAATATTTCAAATTTTTTCGTTAGTATTAGATTTGTCATGGTGATCTGTGATCGGTGATCCTTGGTGTTACTGTTATAATTGTTTGGGGGCACCACGAACCACATCTGTATATGACAGTGAACTTAATAAATGTTGTCTGTGTTCTGGCTGTTCCACTGACTGGCCATTCCCCCATGTCTCTCCCTCTTTTGGGCCTCTATTCCTGGAGACACAACAATATTGGAATTAGGCCAGTTAATTAGGCCTACCATGGTCTCTATGTTTTCGAGTGAAGAGTCACATGTCTCTCACTTCAAATCAAAAGCTAGAAATGACTCAGCTTAGCAAGGAAGTCATGTTGAAAGCCAAAGATAGGCTGAAAGCTAGGCTTCTCCACCAAACAGTTGGCCAAGTTGTGAATAAAGGAAGAGTTCTTAAAGGAAATCAGAAGTGCTACTCCAGTGAACACATGGATGATTAAAAGCAAAACAGTCTTATTGCTGATATGGAGAAAGTTCTAGTGTTCTGGACAAACGATCAAACCAGCCACAGCATTCCCTTAAGCCAGAGCCTGATCCAGAGCAAGGCCCTAACTCTCTTCAATTCTCTGAAGGCTGGGAGAGGTGAGGGAGCTGCAGAAGGAAAGTCTGAAGCTAACAGAGGTTGGTCCATGAGGTTTAAGGAGAGCAACCGTCTCCACAATATAAAAGCACAAGATGAAGCAGCAAGTGCTGATGTAGAAGCTGCAGCAAGTTCTCCAGAAGATCTAGCTAAGACAACTCATGAAGGTGGCTACACTAAACAATAGATTTCCACATAGATGAAACAGCTTTCTTTTGGAAGAAGATGCCATTTAGGACTTTTATAGCGAGAGAAGGGAAGTCAGTACCTGGACATGCTGACTCTTGATAGGGGGATACTGCAGCCGGTGACTTAAAGTGAAACACAGTGCTCACTGACCATTCTGAGAATCCTAGGGCCCTTAAGAACTATGCTAAATCTACTCTGCCTGTCTCTAAAGGGAGCAACAAAGCCTTGTAAACAGATGACAGCACATTTGTTTACAAATATTTTCAGCCCACTGTTGAGACCTACTGCTCAGAGAAAAAAAAAAAAAAGATTCCTTTCAAAATATTACTGCTCACTCACAATACACCTGGGTGCCCAAGAGCTCTGATGGAGACAGACAATGAGATCAATATTGTTTTCATGCCTGCCAACACATCTATTCTGCAGCCCATGGATCAAGGAGTCATTTCAACTTCCAAATCTTATTATTTAAGACATACGTTTCATAACAATATTGGTGCTGTGGATAGTGATTCCTTTGATGGAGCTGGGGAGAGTTCATTGGAAACCTTCTGGAAAAGATTCATCATTCTAGAAGACATTAAGAACATTCATGATTCATAGGAAGAGGTCAAAATATTACCATTAACAAGGGTTTGGAAGAAGCGAATTCCAACGCTCATAGATGACCTTGAGGGGTTCAAGACTTCAGTGGAGACAGTAACTGCAGGTGTGGTGGAAACAGCAAGAGAATGAGAATGAGAAGTAGAGCCTGAAGATGGGACTGCATTGCTGCTATCTCATGATCGAACTTGAACGGATGAAGAGTCGCTTTCTTACGGATGAGCAGAGAAAGTGGTTTCTTGAGATGGACTCGACTCCTGGTGAAGATGCTATGAAGACTGTTGAAATGGCAACGAAGGATTTAGAATATTTTTTAATTTTTTTTTAATTTTTTTATTGTTGTGTTAATCACCATACAAGGATTTAGAATATTACATAAACTTTGTTGATACAGCAGCAGCAGGGTTTGAGAGAATTGACTCCCAATTCTGAAAGAAGTCCTACTGTGGATAGAATGCTGTCAAACAGCATCACATGCTACAGAGGAAATGCTCATGAAAGGAAGAGTCGATTGATGCGGCAAACTTCAATGTTGTATTATTTTAAGAAATTGCCTCAACCACCCCAGCCTTCAGCAATCACCACCCTGTTCCATCAGCAGCCATCAACATCAAGGCAAGACCCTCCACCAGCAAAAAGATGATGACTCACTGAAAGGTCAGATGATGGTTAGCATTTTTTAGCAATAAAATATTTTAAATTAAGATACCTACATTGTTTTTTTAGACGCAATGCTTTTGCACACTTAACAGACTACAAGATAGTGTAAACATAACTTTCCTGTGCACTGGGAAACCAAAAAATTCATCTGACTTGCTTTACTGCAATGCTCACTTTATTGCAGTGGTCTAGAACCCGCAGTATCTCCTAGGAATGCCTGTCCGTTCTGCTAGGGTGCCGTAGACTGGGTCCAGGATTGGGTGTGAACAGCGTATTTACTGACTCGAAGGACTTTTGTGCTGTGGTTGGAATGTATTTGCCATGAAGGCTGCATAGAAATCTACATTTTCATGTGGGGATTAAGGAGAATAATTTTATATGAAAGTGATCTTAGATACAAAGCTGTAAAGAACAGCAGATTGAGGGGAAGAAGCTGTGCATAGAGTTTTCTATCTCATGATTCTCTTTTTCTACCCAGCCAAGCACTGGCTGCCACCTGTATGGTTAGGGGCCAGGGCATATCCACTGCCGCCTTCCCCACAGACCCAGCACCGTGCGGGAATATGACAGACGCAGAGTAAATGTGGAACAGGGGACGCAAGCTTGGAGACATGGAGATTAAGGGAACTTTGAAAAGCCAGACCTGACGACCCAGCCCAGGAGCTACTCATCTGGGTTCTGCCTATTGCAGACATTTACAAAATATGTTCAGGTGCTTCAGGCTCCATTAAAATCCGCATTTGCATGTCATAGAGACAGTCAAACCCTCTGCCTACTTCTTGAGGATGATTTACTTCTTGTGTTTAGGTTTTTTGGGGGGGTTTTTTTGAGGCAGATTAACTTTAGATTCTGGCCTTCAGGGGTTAAAAAACAGACGAACAAACAAAGTAGCCTGGGAGCCAGGGAGAATGCCCCTTATTTTCTTATCTTACACAGCCAAAGGAGTTCTTCTCGAATAAACCTCTTCCCCCTGGGCTCCGAATGCTAAAATACGCAATAATAGAGACACTGTCATTCCACATAACTGCTGTTTTTGAAGATGCCGTAAAATTCTGAAGTCTTTTCTGTGGATCTGTCTTTGAAGAAAGCCCTTACCTGGGAGCAAAACGATACCTCTGTGGTTCACATCTGTTCCTTTGGTTATTTCCCACAGTAGTTTCTTTTTAAATAGTTCTTTGATGCCCTAAATATACTGTTAAATATTATGCAAGCATTCTAAATTTTGCTTGGGGCCCATAAAAAGGATTGAAATGATTTTAATAGCTGTAATTACGCATCCCAACGACCAACTTGCCATTAAGGAACCTCGCAAGCAGAGTCCCCGCCGTGGGACCATAAGCCGTCCTTGCCTACGCTCTCCCCATGTTCACCCACCACCAGCGGCTTCTGCACGCCTCTCGCATCCTGAACTGGCCTTGTTTATTTATGCCTGACTTGCTACCATCCCGACTGGGTTTAAATATGTGTGTTTCCACGGCTGGAATGACTTCACTGGGATTTCTATTTGATTGATTGATCGAGTGTGTGCGAGAGTGAGCTTGGAAGGGGGGTGGATGGAGGGGCAGAGAGAGAGAGAGAATCCCAAGATGCAGGGCTCGATCTCACAACCCTGCAGTCATGAACTGAGCTGAAATCAAGAGTTGGACGCTTAACCAACTGAGCCCCCCAGGCACCCCGGGATTTCTGTTTTAAGTGCAGAGTAGACACACACTGATGCATACAGCACATGGCAGAGGAGGCTGTCTCCTGCAGGTAGAAAGAATTTTTAAAATACTTTAGAAAGCTGCATGGGTTTAAATTTGTTTCGCTTCCTCCTTGCAGACAAGGTGCTAGGGGACAGGGAAAACAGGCAGCTCAGTGTCACTTTGCATCCTTACACATGATGTCCTGGCTCCGACACTGCTCATCATCCTTAGTACATGAGTGACAGCTCCACCCAGTGAGCTGTAATAGGAAGTAGCTGCTGCCGCTGGCTCATTTGCCAGGGAGGGATGCCCCACTAAGCATCCAGCTCTAGACGTCTCTCTCCCCTCCTCCCATCCCTCTCCTGTTCACTGCAGCCCCTTCTTAATAGCCCAGGGCACTTGGCCCACTTCGCTGTTTTGGCAGAGATGGAGAGAAAGCTTTCCTTCTGCTGTTTGATCTCATCATAGTCACAGCTTATTGGACCTTTTCCAAGGAAAACTAAAGGGAAACAAACAGAAACTTTCCTGTAATAAACACCGTCAAAGCAAATTGCAAAAACGTAAAAACTGATGGACTTCCAAAGCCTGTAGTACATTTTATAGAAATGTTTGGTTTCCAAAATATATCCATAGACTAGTAAAGCCTAGTTTTAGGGTTTTGTTTCTGTTTGCGTTCTGTTCTGTTTCGTTTTGTTTTTAATAATTCAGTTACCTAGGCACAGGAAACTTCACTCTGAGAAAACCCCAACTTGGAGCTTCAGGATGGCACTTTGGGCTCCTCCGTTCCTGGCCCATAGGAGGTGAGCTCAGTGCCTGGCCCAGTGCCTGCCACCCAGGAGCCTCTCCCCAAGTACAGAAAGAAACCGATGGCTTCTCAAAGGGTCCTTCCTCAGCTGACCCTCCTGGAGGATCCTGCCTCCGCTGGGCTCCTGGTCTTCTCTTTCCTGTCCGGGTGGGTCGAGAACCTGGTCAGGGGGTTGGAGGGCCAGTCACTTCTGGCCTGCAGATGACCCACCGATCATCCAGCCACTTCTCGGCGCGCCTTCTCAGCACCATCCCCTGTTGGCTTTCCCCTCGGGAGCTCTTTCCTAGAGTCGTTTATCACCTACAGCAAGTATTCGTAAACTGCTGGATTAAATAAAGCAAGACTAGTCGTGGTCTTCTTCTAAATGCAGATATGCTTGATGAAAGGACAGAGGATGTCTTTGCTCTTTCAGGAGCTGACCACTCATCTGCTTTAGAGAGCATCTCCGCGTAGCTCGGTAACTTCCAAGGCCCCTTTCATTTGTATTTTTTCCTTGTATACATTTAGATTGGGATAGAAACACTCCGTGGGAATGTCATGCTGATTGCTTCAGACAGATAACGTTATACGGAACCAGTGATTGCATCTTCTCTGGCAGATTCTCATGTGCTTTTTCTTTTGGCCCTTCTTGTCTTTTACCCCAATTGCAGGTTTGTGTGCAGCTTGGTGTACTATGGCCTCACTCTGAGCGCAGGTGATCTAGGCGGAAATATTTATGCCAACCTGGCCCTGTCTGGCCTCATAGAGATTCCATCCTACCCTATCTGCATCTACTTGATTAACCAAAAATGGTGAGTATAGTTGAATCTGAAATGCCCCACATAGGATCACGCTCTTGTATACATAAATACTTAAATATTGTTGTCTTTGCCCATAGGCAGTATCTGTTCAGTACTCCAGGGTGATTAGAATTCTTTTTAGACCAAATACAGTTGGAATTCATTTTTTAGTGTGGTATTGCTTGGGTTTCATGTTTATGAGTTTTTCCGTAGGTTTTCAATCCAGTATTAAAATGCACTACCACCGGAAGGGTTTTGGATAGTCTGTGTGTAGTTTGTTAGCCCCAAGAGATAGGATTATTGGCTCTGTGTAGATAGAAGTCCTTCGACCCAGCCCCTATCATGTAGAGGTTCTTACACAGAATTGGAGTAACCTGGAAGGACTTTTCTTACCTCTTTAAGACCCACTCGACTTTGTGGAGGGGAGGAATACACCCTGCTTTTGCTACTTGTTAGTGAGGAGTTTTACAGTACTTTTTAAACAGAGCACCATTTCCTCAGTTTCTCTATGAGATCGCTTCTGTTACTGAGCCCTGACCAGAGCAACTGAAAATCCCATTCAGTGTGAACCAACCAGATTGTGCCATTTCCCATTATCCAGAAATCATCATTTTAACCCAAACAGCATTCCTTTTGCACTATACTTGGTGCTGTTGTTGTGGATGGTGGGTTGGTTCAGTGCATCTTGAAGGGCAGGTTTGGATTCTGTTCAGTTGAAAGGCTTTTCTCTGGGGGTGGTCCCGATTGTCCCCAGTGACCCCTCTGTTAGGACTGAGCTTGTTGTCACCGTGGTCCAAGAGCTGAGTCAGGCTGTATATCCAGAAATCGGTCCCCATCACCTCCAGTGAGCCAGACACCCCTCCCTTGTGCTGTCATAGCTTCCATGCTCACCTCGGGTGACCACCTACGGTTTTAGAAGGATGCCGTCCCAGGGAGTAGCCTGTATGGCTTTGTGTCCCCACTGCCTGCCTAGCGTGGCACCTGTCCATTGAAAGGCACTCAGTACTGATGTTAAGTGCGGCACAATGACCTGGAGACCCACGTGTCATCCTGTCTTCCAGCCACTTACAACTGAGTGCAAATCTAGTCTCAGGCACATGTTACTTTTATGGCTTTGACAGGTGACGGCTTTGACAAGTAAGCTTCCATGTACTTATCCTTAAACTAGGGCTTATAAAATTCCCCGGCAGAATTGTTAATAAAGGTTACAAGCGCTATGGAAGTTCCTGCAGGGGACCTAGCAATTCATAGGCCCCTAGTGGAAGGGAGGCTTGTCGATGCCAGTGCCTTTCACCCAAGCCTCCAGCAATTCTTTGAAAATTAGTTCCCTTAATAAAGTGTGCAATACATGTCACTTAATTCTGACATACTAACAAGAAATTTTTTTCAGTTTGTATTTTTAAGAGAGAGAGCCTTGTTTTACAGTGTTTAAAATTTGCAACGACGTGGATGGAACTAGAGGGTATTATACGAAATGAAGTAAGTCGGAGAAAGACAGTTATCATATGATTTCACTCATATGTGGAATTTAAGAAACAAAACAGATGAACATAGGGGGAGAGAAGGAAAAATGAAACAAGACGAAATCAGAGAGGGAGACAAACCATAAAAGACCCTTAATCATAGGAAACAAACTGAGGGTTGCTGGAGGGGTGGGGGGTGGGGGGACGGGGTAACTGGGTGATGGACATTGAGGAGGGCACGTGATGGGATGAGCAGTGGGTGTTATTTGTAACTTATAAATCACTGACCTCTACCTCTGAAACTATTAATACACTATATGTGAATTAATTGATTTTAAATAAAGTTTAAAAAATGAACTGCTAAAGATTCATGTAATGAGAAGAGGAAGTGAGCTGAAGACTCCGTTCTCCATAGTTCATTTCCATTCTCTGGAAGAGGGAGAGCATAGCGCATGCCTTACAGGTTTATTGTGAGGACTAAGTAAGATACTCGATGGACAGCATTCAGCACTGCCTGGAACATAGTGAACCCTCACAGAAATCAATAGAATGATTCTCTGTTCTTTTCCTGCACACGTCATTCAGTCCTGACATCGGCCAGTTTTCTCTTGTTTTGTGATGGTTACGTATTTTATGTCCTGGTCAGTCACATCTGCCACCCATTCCTTAAGCAACGATGAACATATATAATGAAACTGGGGACATTTCAGAAAGAAAGTTCGGGAGACGAAGCAGATGAATTTATAAGATCCTCAAGAGAAATGTGTGATGTCTTTCTGTTGTTTAGGTTTGGTCGGAAGCGGACATTAGCGGCATTTCTGTGCCTAGGAGGACTGGCTTGTCTTATTATAATGTTTCTTCCAGAAAAGAAAGGTATGCCTTTCAGATTTCTACACATAAGGGTTTTGAACAGCACTTTTATTACAATGAATCTCAATATAGTAGAGAGATTACCATATGCCATGCTTCATTTCTGTGATTGCATATTATTTAGCGATTGTGTGGGGTATAATGGGCCAGATTCTTCCCATTGCCTAAACTATTCTCTGGGTGAATAATGGGCTTAGAGGTGCACTATTAATTCTTTCAGGCGATTAAGCTACCATCTGGGGTGTCTGGGCTGCAGTACTGGTGACATTAGAGTTGTTTATTTGATGATGGGGAGGACCATTTAGCTCTGCAGAGAGAGAAACTCCACCCAGGGCTACGGATCTGTACTCCCCACTCCAGACAATCACAGATCAGAGTCACCGGTTCCCAAAGGCAGCTTTGGTGCCCTCTGCATGACCACCATCCATACTTCCAGGGCCTCCTGATCATAACGGCACCACAGGAAGAGGGGCTGTTCACTGTTGGTGACAACGGATGTTTTCCCAGTCTTATATAAAGTGTGAACAAATCATCTTTAGGAAACTTTGGTATTTTTATATATTTGTAGCTTTGCTGTGCATCCTTATCTAACTTGATTTCTGCCCTTCTATAGAATTTATGTTAGAGAGTGATGGTTCTCAGCCTTTTTTTTTTTTTTCTTTTTGGCACTAGCACACCTGACACATGCTAGCTATCTTGTCAAAAACTGATTCGGGCAGTGCTTTCCAACAATGCGGGTGGGTCATAACTAACACTGGACTGCTAGGGCAGATGGTAGCACAAAAGCCCTGTTTGGGGGGCTTTGGGATCTTAATAGGTCTCCATCCTGGAGCTTTTACTTCAGGTGGGAATCATTGTGAAGTGGCTTAACATAAGGTTTGACAGTGCTCGAAACAGCTGAAGAATTTACTTGCTGACCTGACATATCACGTAGGAAACCCTCCTTTGGTCGTTGCTTCTCCTTGAGATTCGGGTGTAGCAGTGTCTCACCCAAGACCCCAAGGCCACGTGTTCTAGTTCTGTAACCCCCAGGACACCTGCTGTGCTGCTGGTCACCACCTCAAGTCCTGTGCCTTCAATCCAGGGGGCGGTTCGTTCACTACTGTGGATGTGACCTGTATGTAGCACAACCTTGTAGTGATTTTCATGGAATCACGGAAACTAGACGTTTCAATGAGTTTACCTATTTCATACTCTCTAAGGAAATTGTTACCTCTACTAGTGCCAGAAAAGGGAGAGTCCTCAGCTCTTGCCTTGCTGTGGGCTTGTAGAACCAAGCACCTGGTTCTGTTTGTCTGGGGTGTCTGGGCTGCAGTACTGGTGACATTAGAGTTGTTTATTTGATGATGGAGCGGACCATTTGACGATGGGAAGCCCACCTCTAGGCAGTAGGGGGCTTCAAATCATCATAGCTTTATTTTTTTTTTTGAAGATTTATTTATTTGAGAGAGCGAGAATGAGAGAGAGAGACAGTACATGAGAGGGGGGAGGGTCAGAGGGAGAAGCAGGCTCCTCGCCGAGCAGGGAGCCCGATGCGGGACTCGATCCCGGGACTCCAGGATCATGACCTGAGCCCAAGGCAGTCGCTTAACCGACTGAGCCACCCAGGCGCCCCATAGCTTTATTTTTTTTAATATTTGTATTTATTTATTTGGTAGACAGAGAGAGCACAAGAGGGGGTAGGGGGGAAGGTCAGAGGCAGAGGGAGAAGCAGACTCCCCACTGAGCAGGGAGCCCAATGCAGGGCTCAATCCCAGGACCCCAGGATCATGACCTGAGCCGAAGGCAGATGCTCAACCCAGGCGCCCCAAGATCATCATAGCTTTAGATTCAGATTTTGTTTTTCATAGACAGCTTGGAAATCCCATTGTTTTCTATCATAGGCCAGTGTTCTAGTTGTCGCCTTGTAAAGAAAACTTTCTCCTTGTTGCCATAAGCACCCCTGTAACCTGTCACACCTCTCCCAGCCAGGCCTCCTTCCACTTAGCTGTGCACTCCGGGGTACAGCCCGCAGCCCAGCACTCTGCATGTGGCTCTTTCAAAGTGAAAGCAGATGTGTGGTCTCCAGCCAGACCTGGCCTCACTCTCTGCTCACTTGTGGTTGGTTTTAAGAAAGAAGCTTGAGCCCTTTGTCGTTGGTGCCCCTGGGTGGACACAGAGTAAGGAGTACTCCAAGAGTGCGCCTCAGCAATGTGGTACCTCTGTTATACTTAGAAAAGTGCACATCTAGTCTGTTTTTGAAGATTTCCAGGAAAAGAAATCTCACTACATCCCTTAGAAAATTGTTTAGCCATGAGAACTGGCCTCTTCCACTACAACTGAGCCTATTCCCTTTCATTTTATTCATCACTAGAGATAGAGAAGAGATGACCACCCCTCCCTTCCTTTTTTTTTTTGCATAATCCTTTCTATATTTGCTGGGAGTCACCTACTCCTGAATCTTCACTTCCTTAAGCTGAAAAAATTTGTTCCTTAAACTTTCTTTGAACCTTTCATATTTACTCCTTAAAGCATTTTGATGGCTCTCTTTTATTTACTTTTTTTAGATTTTATTTATTTTTTTGACAGAGAGACACAGCAAGAGAGGGAACACAAGCAGGGGGAGTGGGAGAGGGAGAAGCAGGCTTCCCGCTGAGCAGAGAGCTCGATGCAGGCTTGATGCGGGGCTCGATCCCAGGACCCTGGGATCATGACCTGAGCCGAAGGCAGACGGTTAATGACTGAGCCACCCAGGCGCCCCTCGATGGCTCTCTTTTAAATCTCAGTTTGTTCAGGGGCACCTGGGTGGCTCAGTCATTAAGTGTCTGCTTTCGGCTCAGGTCATGATCCCAGGGTCCTGGGATCGAGCCCTGCATCGGGCTCCCTGCTCCGCGGGAAGCCTGCTTCTCCCTCTCCCACTCCCTCTGCTTGTGTTCCCTCTCTCGCTGTCTCTCTCTCTGTCAAATAAATAAAATAAAAGTCTTTAAAAATAAACAAGTAAATCTCAGTTTGTTCAAAGTTCTGAGCCTTAAGCTACTTCTTACAAAAGTTCTGATAAGTATATGTTGAGAAAGAGACCTAGTAGTTTGGTGAAAAATTCTATTAGCATCTTGTGTGAGCTTGGAGACCACTCATCTTCTCATGCTCTTTGTGCCCATTTTCCCTCACTTTTCCCCACCAAACACACCTTCACTCTCTTCTTTCTGCCAACAAAGGTGTCCCAGTACCTACCAACTTTTTTTGTGGTACCTGCGTGTGATTGTGGTTCTCTGTGTGACAGACAGACATATATACGGGTACACCTCTAGAAGAAACCACCTGTCTGCTAGAAAACAGATTGTTTGGCATTCCTCAGCCTGCGGTTTATAATTATTAGGCAAAGCATCCTGCCCAGTGCATTTTCGCACATTGGTTGGCCTCCAAGTAAATGTTCTCCCTGGAGGTAGTGTTACCAGGTGGCCACTAATATTTTTGTACAGATTTCTCATCATTCATTTTAGCTGATTTTTATCCTTGCTTAAAGGATCCTAATTAAACCTACAATACTGATTATCATTTATGAAGGGATGACTATATACTGGGTTCTCTTCATATATAGAAGATACTATATATTATCCCCATTTGATAAGGAAACTAAAGTTCAGATAGGTCAAGCACCTTGTCTAAGTTGGCACAGCAAGGAAGCAGCACACTTAGGATTCAGATTTCAGGTCTTTCGGACTCTAAAATCAATGCTGTTTGGGGAATGCTGTTTTGCTCTCTTAAGAGTTTTATAGCCAAAGTATTCATTACACATGGTGAGGTTGTTGTCTTAGAGAATTAATGCTGCCTAATTAGAGCCAGTTCTTAACTCTTTAGTAGACAGGTCTGATGGGAAGTGGCCAGGGTTCAAGAACTTGGGTTGCCAGAGTGACACTGGGCTCTTGTTGGCAAGGATGTTCCTGGTAGTTGTGGTCCAGCCAGAGTCTGAATACTAGGGAATCACAGCCCACGACCAGTTAAACAAGTTTCACAGTTGAAAGAGTGTCCTCAGACTACTCTGAGCACCTTTATATCTCATTTCTTTTATCAACCTTTGTCTGCCCATTCTTTAGTCACTTGACTTCTCTAGTGCTTGCTATATACCGGATATTATTCATAAACAAGACCTAGTCCCTGGACTCAAAGAGCTTACAATCTGGTGAAGAAAATGAGTGATTAGAGAAAAATAACAACAATAAAGTCAGAAGGTACCGTATGAGGATTGACAACAAAATGCTATGGGGACTTTAACTTCGGACCACAATCATAATAGAGACCCGCTATTCTCCTGCGTTAAACAACTCTAAAACCAGACAAAATATAAGAAGCACGGATTTTCAGACCCTGGACAATAGGCTGCACAGGACAGGCAGTAATCCCCGAGTGGAAGGAAACAAAGTGCTTCCTAACTGTGACCTAGCTCAGGGTCTCTAAGCCACGGTGCAAGGATGGGGAGCCCAGCAAATCCTGGTACTTTACTGAATTCAGAAGACAGTAGCATTAAAACTTGGGGAGGGCAAGATTTCTAGAATGTGCTAGAAAATATACCGGAGAGGGATAAGATACACAGAGGAAGAATTCCAGAGATCTGCAGAACAGGCCTCAAAGTCGTTGGCTGCTTACTGATCTTTGCGTGTGTTTGAGGAAGCTACTGAGGCCAGAGAGAGGACCACCAGGAAGCAGCGTTCGGGTCAATTCTTGGAACCCAAGGCCGTGCCCAGTCTGTGTTCTTTTCAGCCAGATGTGCGGTGCTGGGTAGAGACCTCCTGGGTCAGAGAAGCCCTACGTTCAAGGCTGTTCTCTGCTTGCCCTCAGAGTGCTTTAAAAATCTCAGAAGGATGAAGTGATTTCAAGTAACTTAACTGTATCCCAGAATAAAGAGCAACAGTATTTAAAGGAATACAGTAAAATCCAGCACCTAACAAGGTAACATCCACAGTATATGGCATCCAGCCAATATCACGAGGCAGGAAAATACCACTGATAACCAACCAGGAGATATA